GCATCATACTTCCACGCTATCAAAGATCGTAGCAGAAAAGAGAAGGAAAATAACCATTGAGTAAGAGCTGGAAAAGAAAAATGCTGACAAACACAACAGATGGAACGAAAAGAAGAAGGACCTATCAATGACATCCTCCAACCACCTGCATCAAAGACTGTAACGAAGACAATATAAGCAATTCAGACAACAAAAAAGACATTCATTTATGAAAGATGAACAATAATTTCTCCATCATAAAAAAGCAAAATAATATAGGCACAAACCCAGTGCAAGCCCACACAGTGCACAGATCGAAACAAGAAGCATGTATATATATTTTTAATATTATGTTGTCAAAGGTTTCCATGAAATTACTGAAGTGCTCAGGACATGTAGGAATTATCCCAGAGATGGAGAAAAGTGTTTGTTTATGCTGTAAACTGTTGCATGTTTCAAATAAAACTGAAGTTGGTTTATATGTGCTGCAAGAAACGGTTTGGTTTCTTGTCTCTATGGGCTTAGGCTGGAAAGGATGTGCAGAGTAAGAGAGACAGAGAGAAAGCAACAGACAGAGAGAGAGAGAGAAAGCAACAGACAGAGAGAGAGAGACAGAGAGAGACAGAGAGAGACAGAGAGAGAGACAGAGAGAGAGAGAGAAAAGGAGAAACAGAGAAAGAAAGAGGAGAGGGGAAAAGAGCCTATTCAAGTTGAAGGTGTCCCCATCCCATCAGCCCTGTTCCCATCACACAGGAATCAAACATCAATGTCCTACTTCTACTTCACAACATTTTCACCAACATTACTTCAAAGAGGCATCCCTCGGTACCCTGTCAAGACACTGGCCAGAGACCAAAAATATTCTCATATGGCTGAGGTAATGAAGCCTAAACTAAAAATATACAAACCAGTAACCAATATTATCCTAGTCAGAACACAATCGCCAAAGTTGTTTGGGTTTGGGGTTTTTTCAGATTACTAGATATTAGTGGTAAAAAAGCTGGTTACCCATTTTGTTTTCTCAATACAGCAGGATTTTGTTTTCGGTAACAAGAATTCAGTTATTGAGACATTTTCCCTGTAGCTCAGTTTATAGAGTCGACTTGGGTGAACAGTTCTTCTTTTTTAAGTTTCATTCCTCAAAACAAAACCAAAAAAAACCAACCTCGGCAGTTTTGATAACCACTACGATATAATACACAATACTGGAATCATAATTTAGCTCTATTGACTTTCTCTTAGAACTCTATTGTTCAGAAAACTTTCTTCCCTAACCGCATTTAAACACAGGATTCTAAAGGCATTTAAATGAAGCATAATATATGCATATTTAAAAACAAAAAACTTTCACATCAAACATGAAAATCAAGAAAAGATGAACTGCGTACTATTTACCCGTCTTTGGTTCATGAGTTCAGCAGTTTCACACCCGAATAGTTCAGCACATAAAGACCAGAACAGTCTTCTCACGGCAGGCTTTTCTTACGGCATTCTAAGAAATCAATTACAATCCCCCTATGATACATGTAATCGTCAGAGACAATGTTATATTGTCCCGCTTAATATAAGACCCAAAGTGTGATTTAACTGTGACATTTTAGTTAAGGTTTGAGTGAAGAGAGAAATTTTAACACCAAAAAAAAAAAGGTCATCCACCATAGGGGAAAACCAAGACAAACAGAAACAACAGAGGGAAAGAAAAGAAATACATAAGACCGACCAGTGTTACCCAGTGACCACCCACTCTAGATTTTGAATCAAGACCCTAAATGGAAAAGAGAGGCACAACGACACGATAACTTAATAGTCAATCAGAGCAGGAAAAAAACAAGGCAGACAAAACGAAACCCCCAGAGAAAAAGAAGTACAATCAAACATGCCCAGACCGCCACATAATAAGACAACCACCTAAACAAACGACCACCTTGTGGGGTTTTTTTTTCTATAACATAATGGCATTACCTATAACAATAACCAATAAGCTGTCCAATGCAGCTGTGGCCACTATATATATATTTCATCATCAAATACTCTACAAAACCTGTTCAACACACCCATACAAATCTATCATCCCCTGATGGGTTGCCATTAATTTATGCATCAGTCCCTGACCCTGTGGATGAGCCATCATAATCTATTTCCTTGTCATTGCTGTTATTGTCCTATAAAATTAACCAATCACTGACCAAGCATGTTGTGAAGACTAGGTTTCTGATCCCTCCCACTGATTACCCACGTTAACTCAAAGGTAACATTTCCATGGGCCTTACGGCCACCTACAGTTAGGAACCTCAAAAGGGAATGGTTTGTTAGATTTTTTTTTCATCTGATCCTGCCTAACTTTGCCACCTGTCTAAGATGATGGTTACTTGTCTACCTACAATGGGTGGCCATCTTAGACAATTTCAAATGTAGTAGCTTCAACACTTCCATGCGGGCCAGTTTTCTTTCGATAGTTGAATATTAGAGCAAGTAAAAAAACTCAAACACACGAAAACAGGGCGAAAATAAGCATGAGCATAAGTTTGAATGTTCTACTCCATTCATTTGTACAAATTAAAAGGGACAATATATCTTCCTCCCAAAGTACAAGAACAAGTAACAATTTCACAAATGTCCTGTGGACAACATTCAACTATTTGTTTGTTTGTTTGTTTGAGAAAAGGGAAGCACATTGACACAATAATGGAAAAAGTAAGTCAGATAGACAGACAATCCAGAGGGAAAGTAAAGAAGTAATACACCAGTGGCACCATCCAACCACCAGCAGAGCTAATTATTTGACATGAAAGGACCGTTAGTTTCATTGTCTACCTCCACTAGAAAAAAATACTTAAAGAGGACAGAGAAGACCAGAGATACAGGAAACACAAGGACAATTTTACACAAAAACATTTTGCATATTTTCCTTCCCTATGGTCACTACCACTATAAAAATACATATCATTAACCTCACGTGAACTTGACAGAAGCAGAATATACATCAGAAAAGGGACTTTGATCACACATAAATGTTAAAGATCCAGTCCTCATGACCCAAAACAGCCAGAGGACACATCATTAAGACTGACTGAAACCAGAAACAAAAACAATAAATTACCAAAAGCACACACAGAAACCAGAAGTACACGAGTAAAAAAAGAATAAATATGTTACAAGCACTTGAATATTTGACCCTGATGTGAATAGGATTTTCACCCGGATCCACTGAGGTGAAATTGGACAGCAAATTCAAGCATATCACAGGTGGGACAATGGAAAGGAATAACTCTCAGTCTGAATTCAGGGGGATGGGTAGGTTGTGATAATAACATGATTCACAACACGAGTCACCAGACGATTTGACGACGTGTGGTTACAGGAAGTGTTACAAACAGCACAGTATTTGAGAGTACAGAGTATCATCTGCGCAAAGATTAAGATCTACCTAAATATTTTACTTCTCCTTTTTTCTTTTTCTTTTTCTACATCACCTTTATCTTCTCTTTCTTCTTCCTTGTTCTTCTACTCCATATCTTATCTTCTTTTTCTTTATTTCTTCTTCTTTTTCTTCATACTCAATACAATAACTTCCTCGGATGGGAATCACACTGACATCTTCTACATGCATCAATAAAGAGTCTAACAATTACACAACAGATACAGATCCATTCCCCTCCCCCCACCTCTGGTGTACTTGACTATGACTGCACGACGAGTCACAGCATCCCCTGCCCTTTCACCCACAACACAGCAACTTTTTTACTTTTTCCCCATTACACCCTGTCCTTTTTTCAAAGCCACTCCTAATCATTCAAACCAAAACACATCCCAACAAGTTTTTTCACTTTTCAGTAAAGTAGACACTAAATTTATTTTGACATTTGGCTCAGACCTATTCCATTTTAACTTCCGCTTATACATTTGTACCTGAGAGTTAATTTATAATTATTTTTTTCTTCCCCTGAGAGTGTGTCGCTAAAAACAAGTAAATATCACATGTCTGTGGCCGTTAAAAGAACGATAAATTGAGAAGAACAATGTCTAATGAGCTTTTAAAACAAAATGTCTTGAACATTCAATTTGAGCCAGATCAGCTGTAAAATGTTTTTAAAAGACTTTTCACAATGCATGACAAGAGTCACTGACTCAAGTTCCGTTTAGTTTGTTTTCCATGCTTTTATGTTCTCCCTAGAACTTGTACTGCATTCGCATATTAAAAACTCTCCTCATGTTCAGTTCAACACTAGAGGAGTCAAAGAGTCTTAGAAAGATGACCAGTACAGAGATGAACAGAAAATTCAATTCTTATACACTTTTGGCAACCGTGAAAATACTGTCAATGTAAATGTTTGCAATCAACATTTATCTTCATAGAATAGTTTATCTGCTAAAATATTTAGTATTAGAGTGTGGGGATATCTGGAATACTACAATAACTTTGTTCAGTGCATGTGCATTAAGTACACTGTATTGTACCTAAAGCTAGACTTGATCTGCATCAGTAAGCGTAATTGGTGCAGCATCAATTGTTTCTTCAGACTATCATTTTTAAGCTCTCTACTTACAGTATAGATGAACATGTTAAGTGACTATATGTCCCCCAAGGGCTTTACATGTATGTAGGTGCATGTGTGTGTGAGTGTTGGGGGAGGGGGGGGGAGAAGGGGAAGGTGAAGGGGAAATACTGGTAGGGTCTCAATCTGTGTGACAACTGGTCAGATGTGTAAACAACAAGCCACCCTTGCACAACCTTCTTCACGAAGTGCCAAGTCTGAATCAAACATTGGCAAAGCTGATTCACTATTCAATTCTAAGCTTGAATGCTCTTTAAAAAAATATTATTTTCTCTTGGTCTTTTCCAGTCGCCGATCTGCTCAAGTTCTCCTAGTAAGTTATTCTTGGTCTACAGATCCTATCCGTAATGAAGAAGTAAGACGAGATGAAAGGGAAAAGAAATTCAAAAGTAAAGGGAAGAGAAAACAGAACAGAGAGAGAGAGAGAGAGAGAGAGAGAGAGAGAGAGAGAGAGAGAGAGAGAGAGAGAGAGAGAGAGAGAGAGAGAGAAAGAGAGAGAGAGGATCTTCCAGCTCTGTGAGTACCATCAGCAATGATTACATCAAGCACAACAAAGTTTAAAATATAATTTAATATTATATATATAATTATATATATACATGTGTATATATATCTATATCCAAAGGTAGATGTCTGTACAAGAATCACCGGCGGCCTCACACAACTGTTGGCGAACAAAGAGAAAATCCCCAGCATTTCCTGAAGTGATGGAACTCTTGGAAAAAGAAGAAAACATTCAAATCTGCACGAGTCAGAAAAACACACCTTGCCCCGATGGACCTGGGCGCATACCTGCACGTTTCTGTGCAGTTAACGCACATCTCAGCTCACAGAGGTGTCAGTATATCTGGCAGAGGAGCTCAGGTGCTCCAGTACTGTAGGCCCAGGGTGGGGCGGGGCTCAAAGCATTAGATTATAAAACTTTTTAGGGTAGTACACAATGTGTATACTTGGCACTGATCAGTCTCGTAGGACTGACAAGATTGAGCATTTTCAGTCCTAAATGTCCTACCTAATCTGATTTCCATAAAATGTATATACCATCTTTATCTTTATATAAAAACTTCTAGTTAAAACAATACCCTATTGACAGTAAAATAACCAGATAGTTAGTCTGAGTAAAGAGAAGCACACCAACACAATAATGGTCATTAAGTGTAGGGTAAATGAAAGCAAGAAAGTTTCAGGCCACAGAGGGAGAGGGAAAAAAAGTAGGACATACCGCTGATGCCCTCCAACCACCACCTGCCCACGTAGGTAGTGTGAAAAAGAAATAGAGGAATAACGCCTCGCGTAACAAGAAAAATAACTTCTAAGTACACTCCACAAGTTCCATCACCGCATGAAAAATGACAAGTGTCATCTCGCCTCCCGAAAACCTTTCCGTCTTATCCGACTTCTGAGGCACAGACTGTCTTGAGTTGAGTTTATTACTAATCAGAGTGCACAGTCAAGATATCACACAAATGTTTAAACAAACAGTTTCTACATACACACACGGTAACTGCACTACCACAACACATGACAGGAGAACAGCTAGGGGCTAGGAATCATCTCCTTCACAGAGAAACTGTATGACTTTCTGAGGGAGTGGAAGGGCAGACAACAGGTGCTGGGGTGTGGTCTGTAAGATGAGGTCACGGCACGCATTCTGGAGGGAGCTCACTGTGGGCAAATATAACAGTGTGGACAATTAGTACAAATTACAAACATATACAAAAGGAGATTCTTTTTATCTGCTAAAAGAAATAAGCAAACACCAAAAAACCTACGCTGGCTCCATTTCACCTTGAGAAGATAAGATAAGATAAGATACATCTTTATTGTCCAGATCCTGGCACATTGAGTCCACAAGAAAGACCACAAAAGAAACCCTTGTTTGTTTTAGTATGAGTTTTACGGCACTTGCAACAAAATCAGATCATACAAGAGTCAAAGATTAGAGGTGTACCAAGAGATTAACAAGCAAAAAAAAAAAAAAAAGGAAGAGCGATAAAGACCAAGATGTTTGGGAAAAAGACGAGGCAAACCACATCAGAGCACCCGCCAAACGCCAACAGGAAATAAATTATATTTATGTAAGACATTTTGTTCATTTGCAAAAAAGCAATGTAAGCAAACACCCAAAAACCTACATTGACTCCATCTCACCTTGTGAGAATCACAGGGGAAACTCACAGGCAAGAAATACAGTAATGTATAAAACTACAATAAAAAAAAACTAATGTATGATAAAAGATTCTAGTAACTATTTGATATTTGTTAGTTTGAGCAAAGAGAAGCACTTCATCACAATAATACTCATTTACTGCAGAGAAATGTATTGCAAGGACAGAAACAACAAAGGGAAAGAAAAGCCTCAAGAGCTGTCAATAAGGCCACCCATCCACCTACAAATTATACTTATTGACAAGAAGCATGAAGCAAGCATTCACATACACCTCCACAAACATGTTTTAATAGTCTGCATTGCTAGGTTAAAAAAAAAAGCATAAAAAATAGCCAAATCATTAAATTGTAATTTATTTCCACCCAAATCAACACAATTTACACTACCGTGTGTGTGTGTGTGTGTGTGTGTGTGTGTGTGTGTGTGTGTGTGTGTGTGCGTGCGTGCGTGTGGGTGTTTGTTTGTTTCAGTAGAGGTTTTACGGCGCTCGCAACGGCATAAGGTCATATGAGCGCCAAGGGGTGGATGTCAACAGAGAAGTCCTTACAGGTAATCAGGCTTACTCTGCTCACCTCTCTAGCTTCAACACCTCAAAGTTTGCTTCGACTATCAAGGCATCCCTGAAATAGCGAGTCACAAGAGTGTGACAAACATACAAAAGAAGTAGAGGAAAATGACGATAGTAAGGATTAGGAAAGAAAAAGCAGCAGTTCCCTGTTGCAGTTCAGGCAGTTATAAGCATGACATTGATGAATCAGCCCATTTAAAATTACAATTCTACTGTGCATAAGAACATGGATTTCCAAGATATTTCGGGACAGTACATGACTCCGATGTGAGAGCCAACATCGGTGGCCAGAATAAGTTTTTTGGCTGCTTTGAGAGAGGGCTCCTCTCCCTCAGTTCCCCTTTGGGAATGGCCTAAAGACACTTCAGTCAGTAGCACGCCCCACTGGGGGAAGGAGTGTGTGTGTGTGTGTGTGTGTACCTTTATGCATGTGTATCTACCCATGCCACATATATCACATATAACCACATGTGCATATAACCCTGGAAAAAAGCTTGTAAAAAGTCCCACCCCCAGATCATTACCTTTGTAGAGCTCTATGAGGCGAATCTGCTTAGTAGTACCGTAGACATCGACGACCGCATACAGAGGAGGGGAATCACATGTTAATGGAATCAGTTCATCACTGGGACCCTGGTCCTCTCCATTGATTATAAAATGCATGCGTGCAAAGTAGCCAGTCTCGTCGGGACAGTACATGACTCCGATGCGAGAGCCAACATCGGTGGCCAGAATAAGTTTTTTGGCCGCTTTGAGAGAGGGCTCCTCTCCCTCAAACGCTGTGGAGGAGGATGAGGATGAGGGAGTTGAAGAGGCGGACTGGCCGTTAGCGTGGTTGCTGGCGAACGATGAACGGAAGAGAGAGTAAGACGGCTGCAGCATCGAGCGACGAACACGCCCACACGCTGTGTTGATGACCTCACCCGTGCCCAACACGGAGGAGTAGGAGGACTGTAAGGAGGAGCGCGCCCGGTCTGGGCTGTAGTACTGGAGGCGGTTGCGTGACTTGGTGACGGCCGACACCCAGCACCGGCCCAGCTGGGCCAAGTCTGGCAGTGCATACTGAGGGAGGCCGTTGGTCTGCTTAGCTGGGTCAACCTGTCACAAGACATGAAGGTAACATAGTCTTCAATGTTTTTAACAAGGGTTTTGCAGCACTTGTAAACAAAACTAGGTCATACAAATGTCAAATATTTGTGGAGATACAAGAAAGTAACAAACATAAAAGGAGGACAGATAAGGAGGACAGACGTGTGACAGGAAAGGAGCAAACCACACCAGACCACCCACCAACCACCCACTATGTCATGAACCATAAGGCCGGTCCCAGAGTGGCTCTGTAGGCCTGACCTGTAGCTCGCCTGGCTCGCACTGTGCAAATGAATGTATACATTATCGTGTGTTTAAGCAGCGTCGCTGTGTCATCTGTTTTTTGTCAGCTGAGCTGCGCGATGCGTCAGACGTGCTATTCAACAGTGTTGTAAAAATGGCGGACATGTGTCGCCTTGCTTCGTGTTTATTTTCGACTGAAACTCTTCACAGATCATCAAAATCAATCAGAAGTAAGTATTATTAGGTGCTTTACTATTATATATTGATGCTAGCATCAACACTTGGCCACAAAATCACCCAGAAATGCACTTTATCATACTTTGAAACTTTGAATCCAGAGGTTGACCTAGTTTCGACTGTTGTCGTAGGCCTAGGCCTAGACCTAGGTGTGCTTCTCTAGATTCTAGATCTAGATCTAGATCTAGCCTTGCATTACCAATGTAAACTATCGCCGCGCGCAGCTGCAAGTGTGTTTGTGTGTGGTGTGTGTGTGTGGGGGGGGGGGGCTGCACTTGGCACGTGACGTTAAGAAGAGTTGTCCCGTCTTGGCATAATTGGTCTTGGATTACACAGTACCTAAATATAGCAAGGCAGACCCGTCAGTTGCACACCTACACATGTCAACTCCCTGTGCGGCTGTGCTGAGACGCAGTGAGTGTGCCTAGCGCTCGTTGAGACACGGGCGCCAACCCACAGTACGGCTGTGCTGACACGCACACGGCGTGCGCCAGGCGAGCTACAGGTCAGACCTACAGAGCCACTCTGGGACCGGCCTTATAAGGACCACCAAATTGAGATGAGGATGGCATTATTAAATCTTGAAGCTACAAAAAGGTCCTGTACACTTTTCTCTCATTGAAAAAAAAGACAGCAAAAGAGGAAGAGGCAGACCAAAATTAATAAATTTACTGAGAGAAATTGAACAGACGGGTGATGGGGAAAAGACCAAGTAATCTGTTTTTTAGAGAGTATATATGAGAAGGGAAACGAGTGGTGATGGGTCTGTCTCTTGAAGGAGGAGAAGGAGGACGAGGAAGAGGGGGAGCACATGGCTCACCAATTGTGTCATGTAATAACAACATATCTCAAGTGTGAAGAGAATTTCCCACAAACAGTTTTGACTTTGATCTGGGCATTGTGTAAAACCTACCGCTCTCTTTTAGCCCCTGGAGCCCTAATCATCCCCCCCCCCCCATCCCATATCTTATCTTACAGAACCTGTGCACCACAGCTCCTGTGAGTCCACTGCTTTATATACACCACTGCACATTGAGGTGAGTGTTTGATGTACAGAAGAAAAGAAAACATAAGAAAAGAAAAGAAAAGAAAAGATTAGACAAGGCAAGACAAGACAAGACAAGATAAGATAAGCTAAGATTAGATAAGTTATAGTAAGAGTTTTACAGCACTTGCAACACAATAAGATCAAATAAGATCAAATAAGATAAGATACATCTTTACTGTCCAGATCCCGGCACATTGGTTTGGTGTTTCACCACGTACACACATACACATACACGCACACACACACACACAAAAACGCAGTGTGCTTACACTCACAAACAAGCTTACAGTCATAAGTATAATATAAATGAACAGTAATTTCACCTATTCGTACACCCTGGGGGTAATTTTGTACCCCCGGGGTTGTATTCTTCAAATTTTAAAATATTTCTAGTGCGAAGATCTCTTTGAAACATTCAGTATTTCTCAAAAAAACATTTTGACAGACTGCTATGCAAAGCGTATGAATCGGATTAACGAGCAAATTTCCTCTTTGGAAAGTGGTGGCACAGAGTTCCCCACGTCGTACGGATACGACAGTAAAACACGACGTACGGATAGGGATAAACAATAATATTTGGGTTCAATGGGTCAAGCCTCTTTTTTGTAGGCTCTCCATCATAACATTAGTTTCAAATTTCCCAAAACAAAAGGGGTCACATTTCATCAGACAGCTAAGAGTATGTTACAACATGCAAACCAAGTCAATCAGATTGTCCAAGTACAATAGAACAGGTATTAAGATGTAACTGGATGACCAGAGGATGACCATTCTGCCACTAAAGAAGAAAACACAGCTTGTTTCTGTTTTTCTCTATTTTTATTCAAGTAGTCAGTGAGTTCAGACTAACAATGTCACTGAGCTAACAATGTTACGTATGTCACTCAAATGGCTTTTAATTTTAGATGGGAGGTCATCAGGATGTGTCCTTGAGAACAACATAACACTCCCTCAAAAACAGAACCCTGAACTGTGGCGACCAGCAATGGTGTGTTGTCTGTATTGGTGTGGTATTGTTCATTGTGTAACATTAATTATTTTTAGGAATGAAAATATATTAAAGTATTTATATATATATAAATATAAATTTTATATATGTTAACATTGTTAGTCATTGTAAACCAAATTTCCCCGCAGGGATCAACAAAAAAAGACAGGAATTATTAATTTTTAACAGGCGATTTTATTCTCTGAAGTGCAAACCCTTCGATTTGAATCTAATATTGCAACCTTGATCACCAGGACCAACCAGTGACGTAAATCTAACAAAACCTTTGCCACTAAGAGCTCTTGATGAAACAACACTGAATTGATCACATCCAATTTCTGTCAGGCACTAGAGCCTAAAAGAATGAATTATAAGATAAAAATGATGAGTAAAACAGAACGAAAAAAAGGAACTTTTACCTCTGTGAGTCCAATCCTCATGTGTCCACTCCATCCCCGCTCTGTTTTCTCTATTTCTACGAGGAAGATTTCCCCTGGCTGGAGAGGTTTTTCACTGAACACAAGTGCGTGTGCAAAACTGACTTCTCGCAAAGCGACGGTGCTTCCTTGAAACAGCCGGATATTCTGCCCGTGAGATTTGTGGAACCTCTTGACGGGCATCTTTAAAGGTCACTATGGGGAAAATGTAAATGGTTAAAAAATGTAAAAATTGATTCAATCAACTATGAAAACAGAAAGACTTTAAGATTTCATTGTATATAAAAAGAAAAGTTCAAAATTCAGTTTCTAAGAAAACTGCAGAGTAAAAGAAACTTCAATGGGATAAAAGTTAAGGTCCTGTATTAAAATCTACAGATTGTAACATATGTCTCTCTCAAACATAAATTACTTCTTTGCACACTTGATACAAATTTACAAAAAGAAAACCATCACATCGCACTAACAAGTTAAGGACTTAAACTCCTTATCCCACAAGAAACCCAAGACTTGGCCCAAAAAAGAAACTTTTATTTAAACGAAGTGGCTGAAGAAATGTCCAGCAGACAGAAAGATCCCATGTGTTCATTAATTTACAAAAAAATTATAAAATCAATATTCTGCGAGTCATATATGAAGTCTGCACTTTAAATATAAACTTCTTCTAATGTCCACATAGCTCAGTCTGTCCCGATCCGACCACTATGGACCAAACCCTAAACAAAGACAACAAGTCTTACCTCACAGAACACAGATATCAAAGTTGACAAAGGCGATAAAGAAACACTAACCACAAATATGAAAAACTATTTTAAAGTCCTCTGCACATCTGGTCTATCTGACAGTCCAGGGGAGTTTATTTTAGTAGAGTTCAGTTTTACAACACTACTTGCAACACAATTAAATCATGGTGCCGAAGATTTAAAAATAAAATTGATACAATAGAGTAACAAACACGAAAAAGAAAACAGAGACATATAAGTTATAAGGACAAAACCTAGTCGTGGGTAGCGTTAATTGCGACAGAGTGACGCTGTGACAGCTAACGCGGCGTTAATTGCGACAGAGTGACTCTGTGACAATTCACGCGGTGTTAATTACAACAGAGTGAGTCTGTGACCAAAAAAAAAAAGAATTTAAAAAGAAAAAAAACAAACAAACACACAGACACACACACATGCACTCACATACACAAATACACATAGGCAGGGCTCCCCTTTATGCACAAATGTGCGTATATTACGCATTAAACCTGCAGATTACCCCCTTTAAGTTTTGATTGTGTGTGAGCTTTACTCTTTATAATTTCATTTCGGGGGTTTGCATACGCTTTCGTATTTTCAACAGAGCCTGGGAACAAAGAAAATGCTCAGAAGACTGGCAGAAAGCCATAGTGGTACCATTATGGGAAAAAAAGGGCAACAAACACAACTGCACAACATGTAGAGGCATCTCATTGTTAAACCACTCAGGAAAAATGTATGCAAAGATACTAGAGCAGCGCATACAACCTATTGTAGAGAGGAATCTGAGCAAAGCTCAGTTTGGATTCCAAAAGGGAAGAGGACGCACGGATGCCGTATTCGCATTACGACAGATATGCGAGAAAACAATAGAACACAACAAAGAATCCAACATCGTCTTTATAGACCAGGAGAAGGCTTTTGACAGAGTAAACCATACAAAACTCTGGAAGACACGTGAAAAGTATGGTGTCAGAGGACAATTGTTAGATAATGTCAGAGCTCTATATACCAACAGCAGAAGCTCAGTAAGAACGAAGGAAGGAAATAGAGACTGGTTCAAAGTAAGATCTGGAGTACGACAGGGATGCGTTGTATCTCCCCTCCTGTTTATAATATATATGGACACAATAACGCAAGAAGCAAACCAAAGCCCAGAAAGCCTAAATGAATTTCTGATCGCAGACGACCAATGTCTAATTCATCAACACCAACAAAGCCTCCAAAATCACACTACCGAACTCAACAACACCTGTGAGAAATTCAACATGAAAATAAGCACATCAAAAACAGAAGTTATGAAAGTGAACCGAAACCATAGTCCCCTGAACATCTATGTCAATAGTAAACAACTGAAACAGGTGAAAGAGTTTAAATATCTTAGCAGCACTTTTTCTGAAAACGAGTCTATAGACAGAGAAATAGAAATGCGAACTCAAAAAGCCAACGCTGTCACCTACCAGCTCGCACCCCTTCTATCTCATCCAAACATCTCCATGGACACAAAGAGACAGCTTATCACCTCAATATTCATACCAACATTATGTTATCAGTGCCAGACCTGGACCTTAAGCAAAACCCATGAAAGCAAAATCACTGCATGCGAAATGAAATGTCTCCGCAAAACCCTTAACATCATAAGGCAGAGAAATGAAGAAGTAAGAGCAGCTATCGGCACTGAGTCCAGGCTGCATTACATAGAAAGACAGAGGATAAAATGGTTTGGCCACCTGTTATGCATGTCACCTGACCAACCAGCCTTGAAAGCCTACAACACCAAGCACTCAGGCTAACACTCATGATAACATAAGAGGAAGGCCACGCAAAAGGTGGATCGAGGGTGTCAAGGAAACCCTAAGAAAACATAACATCACAACTGAAAGAGCTGCGGAGCTGGCCTACCATAGAAAACTGCATCTCCCCTTGACGCTTAACGGCAACAGAGGATGAAAAAGTAAAAGTAAAAGTAAGTAAGTGCATACGCTTTAAAATGCAGGTGGTGTGCGTCTGGCAATTTTCATTTCCCCTTTCTCTATCCCAAAGCCGAGTCAATGATTTGACAGCACGCCCACACACATGCTCGACAGTCACCTTCTGTGTCAGAAGAAGTCGACCTACTTATCAGCTGAGCACAGTTTCCGGCAGCACCGGCTGACTTCAGCACAGAAAGAAGCTCCGCCCACCTTCTGGTCACTCACATTTGCCGGTGTCGTGCCTTGAGTTTATCCCTGCCGTGAGATTATCCCCATCCTTCTTTAACACACTAGTAAACATGAATTGTCTACCATCGAAAGTCTGGAAAGACTGGAATGTGAACCCTGGGATGGCTCTGAAGAATAATGAATCAGTTTATTTTCTGAACCTGCCACTCATCCCTGCCCTAAATCTCAAGCATCCTGATTTTGATCGCGTGTACCCCGATTTTTTTTTGGTTTTTTGTTGTAGTGTTTTTCCGTCTGTTGGGCCGGATTATTATAAAATCTTACTCTGCCTTCTTTTCTGTCGTGGGAGACACTCGTTAAACTTTTTGTCAGCAGAAACTCTGAGCACTATTTTGCGAAATGTCTATGTCGAATTTTGTAGTTGACTCACCAAAAGTTGAATTGGATCTTTGCTCATACGTGATATTTCAACTATAATGGAAGTAGTATTGATTTGGCATTCCGACCTAAGACATTCTCAAGATCTACTTTCGCCAAACATGTTTTTTCCGAGTTCTGGTTTGTCGGGCCCGTCATCAAGACCCTTCAATAAAACTGTTTCAATCGTGCGTTAGCACCACGGGACAGGACTTCGGCGAGTGACTTCCGCGTGGGTTGGGGATCGTCCGTTGACGGGGTCGATTTAAGTTCAAGCACACCGTTAAAGCGTCTTTCTGGACGCTGGGAACACTTGGACTAGGAGACCTTGACGTGATACTTCAGGATAAAAAAAAATAAATA